CATAAATTTTAATGGCAAAAAGTGCATTTCCCGATTTGATCAACGGGGTTTTGGGGGTGCGCGGCTTGATGTTTGTCACTTTAACGAGTGGGCATGCATAATTTCGAGTCCTAAATGGCTTCAAGGGCATTTCCCTCATAAATTTGCATTCGCCAATCGATTATCGTCCTCTTTTTAAATTGCAATTTGCATTCTGAGGGTGGAGCGGTAATAATTTTTGGATTTATACGATTCCGTCAACATGTTTTCTTCGTGGAAAATGATACAAATAAAAATTATATTAAATGCATTAATTTTAACATTTATTTATAGAAGATATATATTTCTTCATAAAATATAGCTTTAAAAACTAACAACATAAAAGAATATATTCTAGCTTAAACATTTAAAAAAAACGCATAACAAGTTAAGTATTTAAATTTATGTGATTTTTTATCAACTTTTTGCTCTTTTAGTAAAGAAGTTTTGCATCAAATCCATTTTGTGTATTATAGCCTTTCCATAAAATGCTATTTTCAAAAGCCCCATAAATTCAGTTGTTTTTCCAAAAGTTTTCCTCAAACTATAACCACATCAAGTGCTTAACTTTCGTGAATTTTCCCCACCAGACTAAAAAAGTCTCGTTCCTCCATGCGCGACATGCGCTTATCGAGGAAACAATCAATACGCTTTCCGCAGTTTTCCGGGCCAAAAATTTCCACCCACAATTGTACTTTGTTGCACTTGCAGTGCTCCCCAAAAGAAAAGCGCAAATGGGGGAGTGGCGGAAAACCCGCAACTAGTTGCTCTTTGTAGCTGGAAACTAAAAGCCAGACAAATGTAACAGCCAGAAAATCGATATTCGGTGGAGTTGGGTCAGCGGAAAAAAATGGGAGAAAAGCGAGAACGATTCTCTGGCATGTGAAGCCAATGAATAACAATTGGAGAGTGGAAAACCGGGGGAAATGGGGAAAACCCAAGAGGAAACACCCGCTGCAAATACTGGGGCGACGCGTCATTTTGTCGCGCGTTGGCGCCACTTTGTTTTATTTATGAATCCCGGGCAGACAGTCGGGCAGGGTCCATCCTCCTGGCTCCCAGGACCCCCAAGACGTCCCAATTTTCCTCATTTTCCGACCCCACACACACAACTGGTTCTATTTGCCCAACTGATTTGAAGCACTTGAAGATGCTGGTCCACAGTTAGAAATTGGGTAACTATCGTTAAAGTCCTTCTGGTTCAAAAACTATTTAGTACTCAATTAAATAAATATTATTTTTTAATGTTCTTATGTATAATAATTTAATTTAGAAAAAACGTTATTCATTTTACGATATGACAGTCTGATTTCATTTATCGTAATTTTTGTTAGTGTACTAGCTGGACTTTTATGGCTGCTTCTAGTTTTATTTTTGCATTTTTATTTGATATTCACCATTTCCGCTTTCAGCGGATTTGGGTCACCCTGTCTCCACCCACGCATTCCATTCCTTGAAGACATTCACAGTTATGTGCTCTGGTTTTTCCACGGGAAATTGAATTGTTTTCCTTTGGCAGAACATTCAGCTCGTCTCTCCAACTTTGTCTTGTAAACAAGTTGTTTCGATGAGGAATGAAGGCGGCAGAGTTTGGGGAGCGTTACGTTAGGTGACACAATTTTCTCGATGAAGTATTAATAAGATGAAACTTTTGTGAAGAAGGGCCCAAATTTGTTTTATTTTATTGGTCACATTTGACTTTTATCAGGATAAGAAAAGTTACTCCTCTGATTCACTCGAAATTTGTTTTATTGATATATTTACGTATAGTAAGTGGATCATTTGTAGTGACATGATGTTAATAGATTCTAAGTGGGGTCTTGGGTTCGGAAAAAAGGCTTATATTATATTGAATTTCTACACAAGAGGAAATGTTTACTGCTGGTATTAAAGCTTCCACTTTCAGTCCCATAAACCCTTCTAGTCCCTCAGAGCCCTTATTTTAACCCCGTTTTGGATCCCTTGAAAAACGAGTTCAGCACGTGACAATGGCCAGGAAACTTGACTTCCTCATCCAGTCGCAGCTATTTTATAAACGGGGTCAACTATTTGGCTCTGCTCTAGTTGTCCCCTTTTCGTTTCCTATGAAAAACGGAACTCATGACGAACTAACCCCCACCAACCAACCCATTCAGGTGGGCTCCCATTTGGCAGGTGTCTCACTGCTAATTGCCGTCATTTCGTGTGCAAATTGTGCGCAAGTAATTGATGCCCCCTTGGGTACTCGTATTTCATTCCCCCTCCTCACGGTCAAGGCATTCGTGTTCAGTCATTGCATTTTCAGTTTTTTCTCCACTTTTGTTTATTGATTTTCAATGAGTTTTGAATTTGACAAGCTATGAGTGTGGAACTGACAGCCGGCGCTTTCCTAAAGTTGGCAAGGTCATGTGTTTTTCCTTAACCTAATCGATCAATTTGGTGGGAATAATTCGCAGTAAACAATCTGGACATGCCTCAGATGGTTGGGTATTCTAAAGGTTAAGCTTAAGGACAGGCATTTCATAAAATATTAATTAAAATGTCATCGGTGAAAGACAGACTCATACCGATAAATGAAAATATCCTTTAAAAAAATAAATATATGTAAAAATGTAATTGTTCATTTTTTTTATGGATTTGTTTATACCTATCTAATATATAAAGCGTTAGTCCTTAAAATTACAAAATAAAATTACTTTTCCTATATTATTCCTCTGTGAAATTTACTTGGAACTACTTTCGAATAACTTTTCAGGTATTGAAAGGTAGTGTGTTAACACCCCCTCCTTTACTTACCTTTATCACACTCCCCCGCAAATAAATTTTCCTCCAGTCACAACTCAATTTCCGCCGCTTCCTGGCACGCTTCAATTGGTAGGACGCCACATGTGCCAGGATCTCATTCTAATGCTCAGGCAAAGTGTCAAAAAGTGTGTTTGGAAATATGCTCTTTATTTTGCTGGGCCGACAACTCAATTAAGGATAAGATAGAGGCACAAATGGAGGATCCTTTCGGGCAATCTTTCGGATGCAACAATTAGAAATCTCACCGTGAGGGCAGGTAGAAAAGAAGATCTCTCTGAAGGAGGGGGTGAAAAGTGTGCTCCGAAGACCCCGCACTTAGTTACGCAACATTTGCGACGATCCCGAGATAAGGATATCCGAAGGGTCCTTAAAAAACGTAGGCGTTGGGCAGGCGTTTGACAATTTTTTATTGTTTGTAAATTTAAATGCGTTTCCTCCGAACACAGCTGTTTCTTTATAGATAACCCCGAACCGTCGACAGTTTGTTAATTATTTCACCCCGAACTGAGTGCATTTCCTTAATTTCCCCATGTTTGAATTAAGTTGTTGCCACATTTGTCTGGCGTTCCTCTTTTTTGGCGTTGAAAGTCCTTCAAGTGGCAGCTCATTAATCCTGCGGCCGCTTCTCCTTTCACCGCCACTTGTGGCACGCGTGTGTGTGTGGGGGTGTCCTTGTACACGAGCTCTTGTGTCCTTCCATATTCTTAATTAGTTGCGCACTTGTAAGCAAATCGTTTAGACAAGCAATTTGTTAACTGCATGGATACTCCTCTAATTTCTATCCTTAAACGTAATTTCCTTCAAGGCCCCGCCACTCATAAATTAGAAGTCCGAAAAGTTTGGCTTTCCCGTTTATTGGTTTATCGCAAACTTTGAATAATCGACAAGAAATAATCTTGAGTTTCGCCCTTTTAGCTTTTTACCTTTTTCCAGTGGTATGAGTAAGATATAATATACATAACAAATATTCTAAAGGTAAATTATAAAGTACCCTGTAAAGTTTAACAAATATATATAATATAGTAGAATACAATTTCTATTTCTGTATTTCAATAAATAAAAAATATAATAATTTGAAAATATCAACCTGTCAGGAAATATTCCTCATCTTTTAGGAAATTAAAGGTTTTTTAGTTTTCTGTTAGTTAAATTATATTCACAAAAAAATTTCTTACAATTTCAATTTCTTTCACCTCAATTTTGCAGCACCCAATCTCACGGTCCGAAGTCCAACCTTTCGCAACAAAATTCGCAAAGCTAAGGAAACTTTCTAAAGCCTCTAGCCATTCTAAGCGCTAAAAAGCAAAGGAAACAGCTCCTAGCTTCACTTCCGGTATCCTTCTTAATCCACCCGTATTTCCCTTTCTACAATTCAAAAAGGAAAGCGCAAAAATTAAATTTAAGCTGATTTTAGATTCGCGAACGGTCTGGGGAGGAAAAACTCCGGATCAAAAGTTGGTGGCAGGGATTACCAGGCGGCAAAGAAGAAGGAAAAATCCCATTTGACAGACATGTCCTGTCTAATTTGTCGCGTGTCCAGCAGAAAGAAGCGACATTTTCACGTAGTTTTGCGCAATTCGCTTCCTTTTTTCCACACAAAAGTTAACAATTTTTTTAATTAAAACTTTTTCGGTTGGCCAAGAATGATGACGTCGCGTGGCAACTTCTTCTTAGGATTTTTTTCCTTTTGGCTGAGTCAACAAAATTTTTTATTGCCCAAATATTGGCCATAATTAAGGCGATAAAAAAATGACAGTACAGAGCGATAATTATTTGCCTGCCTCTGCCTCTCTATCCTTCAGCACAGTACATTCTCTTTCCTCAGAACAATTAGATGTTGCTATCTCTTTCTGGCCTCTTTTAATTTGCATTTTAATTTATGGGCGCCTATAACTTTTATCGAAGTCGTTGTCTTTGCCTTTTCCGCTAAGGCCAAAAGGTCAAACAGCTGTGAGTCGGACTCTTTGGACGTCATTCGTTTTTCCTTCTTTCGTCGGAGGCCAATTAGCAAGGAGGTCGAATGTAGGATAAGGGAAAAGGTTAAGCCCTAGAGACATAGAACACATGGTTCGAAGAATAGTTAGGAAATTTTTAATCCGACGACGTTAAAGGAGGAATCTTTACACTGACTACCCACTGAAGAGCCATTTAAATTATTGAGTGACTCCCATCTGTGAAATCCCTAAACATAGGTCAACTTTTAAGGATTTAGAAACAAAAAATATTTTGTTGGAATTTATTTACCACTGGGGTTTAACGATGTGGCCCTGAAAGTAAATAGTATTTCGATCATGAATTGTGTAGGCAAACGGATGGTCGGCTATAAACTCCATGGGATGAACAATATCAACAGACTTTTTTCTACGAATAAGTACCCCTGTAAAAAAGAAATGAAATAGTAAAGTGATTAGTTTATGAAAAACTATGAGTAAGTACCTGTTGCAGCAGCGGCCTCGGTGCCCTTCTCATCGACCTTTAGGAAGGCTTTTTGGACAACATTATCAATCTTGACACTAGATCCCACAACTAGGCCTTCAAAATCCGCAGAATCTTTAAAAGCATCTTGGATACCCAACTGAAAAATAAGCAATAAATCAGGATACTTTTTATAAACCAAAGCCACTAACCTTTTGAAGAGTGCCCCTTAGTTGTGCCCTAAATTCAATTTTGAACTTGGGAAGCTTTACATTAACAGTATTTTTCTGCAGAGGTCTGGAAAACCCCACAATTTTCTCTTCCAATTCGCATAGTCCATCGACTCTGTTGGGCAGAAAAATGCGCATCGAAAGATTTGTTTTCCGATACGGCAGTTCGATTACCTTGGCATCCAAGTCGCCCAAATAGGCCGAAAATAGGGGTTTTGACAATGTCATCATTTCGACAGGAACGATTTCCTTAGCTGATACATGGAAATCAGCTACATGAGTTTGGTCAGCCTTGAACTCATATTTCCACAGACCCTCGAAGTAAATTGCGTTTACCAAAATTGCGCTAAGATAGGGATTCATGTCACTAGGTGAAACTAAACTCCGTATCTTTCCATGCGTCTGATTTGATACCCATTTATTGACTATCTTAGCCGCCTTTTCTGGATCTTCTAGACTGATTGTCTTAGCTTTGGCCTTGAAGTACTTTTTAACCATCTGATTAAATTCCGGAACAAGGCTATATTTTCCATTGACGTATATGCGGTTTGCCAGCCGCAGGGTGACGGACTTTTTACCATTCTTAAGATTTGTTAAAAACTCCCTGTAACGATTGGCCACTTCTTCTTTATCCTTTGGCAATTTCAGCGAGTTTCGTAGTTCTCGGGCCGTTTTTCCACCTGCTGCCATATAGATCATGCTCATAACAATCTCTACGGAGAGTGGCGAAGTAATGAGGTTTCGTTTTGCGTTCTCCTTGGACAAAATTCTATAAAAATCATCACTGAACCGACAAGCCACTGTCGAGGCCAAAAAAATCAGAACTGTAGGAAAAACAGTAAATTATTTCGGAATAAAATACGACTATGTTGACCGTTTACTCAAGTATTTCATTCGAAATGCGGCATCAGACTTAACGGATATTTACAGGTCTTGAAAAAGTTTACTAAAAGCTAATGAAATCAGTAACGCCGATTTGACATGGACATTTGCATGAAAATCAATTTAAATGGAAAGAAATTGTTATACTCTTTCAGAAAGTACTAATATTGTGTTGGACGAAAATTTATAGTTATTGAAAGATAACTTCCTTTCTTTTTCTAATGGAGTACTTAAATGAGATTTAAAACCCAGCCAATGACAATATCAATAAAACTGGATTTATTTATGAATTACAATAAAATATAGTGGAAAAGTGAGAAGGCACTTAAGGAAGATTAAGAAATCAATTAAATAGATTACAATATGTTTAAACATTTGTATCCTCGGGTATATTTAAAGCCATCCTGATTGCGGTTTTTCTCTTACGCAAGTATTTTATTTAAAACAGTGACTTAACCTTCCCGCAAATTATCAGGCCAAGTTTCGACGTGGAAGTTAGACTTTACTTTATTACAAATGTATACCAAGTATTAAACAATAAACAAAGAAATATACATATATAGTATATATTTCATGGAAAAACCTTGTCGATAATAAGGGGATTTTACTTTCAAGCAAAATCACTGGAAAGAAACTTTAGGATTTTTTTCTATAGCTTCAAATTTATTACACTTTTCGCAGCTTCAGCTTAGACACTAGCTCCACCAAATACTCCAGTACCCATTGAGTTCCCCTCTTTAAACCCGTTCCCTCTGTTGCTTCTTGCACTGATAAAATGTAACACCATTTATTAATTTAACTTAAATATATTTTAAATAATATGGTATAATTACCTCTCGAAGTAAATATAATATATATTATTTTAAAATGTTTTAAAACATCATATAAAAGATTTTTGAATGCAGAAAATTAATAAGTAAATTGATAAGAGTAAGTCGGACCAGTACATTTTAAATATTAAGTGGTTCTAAAAAAAACTTCAGTTCTGATGATATAGAGATTTAGAGATGTACAGAGATTAAAAACTGACTGGTAAAAAAATGATTTCACAATATTTGTCAGCAATCAGAAGATCCTTCTAAAACATTTTTAAAGTGGAATTTAATAAGCTCATAATTAGAAAGGAAAATTACACAAACCATAAGTGAATAATAAAAAAACATTTTTATTTACCAAATTGCACAATAAAAACCTTTTTTTTTCTGTGCAGATCCAAGTCTTGCGTGCTGAGCTGCTGCCTGTGTTACGTTTCTCTCAGTTACGCACATTTTCGCTTATCGGGTGAGTCGGAGGGGGTGCTAAAAAGGGGGTGGTGGACAGGGAGGGCAGATAAGGGGGACAGACAAGCGACAGCTCGGACATGTTTCCTCAAACCCATCAAAAAACGACGAACCAAAATGCAAGTGTCTCGCCTTACAGTCGCCCCCAACTCTTTGACTTGGTTTTTCTCTGAGCCTGATTTATGTCGTTCAGTGTCGCGGGTGTTGCGTGTCGGCACCCACAGCCCCCCTGGCCCCCCTAGCCACTCTTCTATATACATGAAGAAATATTACAAATATTTAAATATTTATTATATCTATAATTGTTTCATGATTTTTATCTAAGCAAGGAAGAAAAGTTAAAATATTATTTTTTAGGGCTTTAAATAATAAACTTAAACACCTTTGAAATAAGGATATATACATTTTATTAAATTTATAAAATATTTTTAGATCTTGAGACAATTCACAACTTGTTTTCAGTGTAGTCATCTGAGACTGTGGACAGTGCAGTTTGAGTTTTTTTCAACTCTGTGGTCAGTTTGCTGTCTTCTGGCGATTGGCACTGAAGCGAAGCAGGCGATTTCCGCTTTAATGTAATTTTGACAACGCACACACGAAGTTCCAATGGTCAAGGGGGTGGAACTGGAGGATGGGGATGATGTCAGGGGGAGGCTGCGATTCAGTATCGTCATCAAGGAAATGTCATGATAAATCTTACTCGACTTTCGCGTGGCCGAAACCGTTACAGTAGCAACCGCGAATTCGATTTCGATTTGGGTTTTTGATTTCAATTTAAATCGCATTTGGTACTCTGCAATTAAGAGATCATATCAAGTGGTAATTTATCAACTTGGAAATGTTGCCGATTATGGTGTTTATGAAAAATGATTGGATACATTTTTAAAAGTAAAGTGAAATTGCATTTTTAGGTATCTATATTATCGAAACTGTATTTTTTGTTCCGTAATATTAAAAACTTATGGGTTCTTTAAAATGAAATATAACTCTTGGAATGAAGAGTATCCTAAAGTCAGCTTGCCATTTGGTAAAAAATATGTTTTTTTTATAGTTTTTCACTTTCCAGCTCTCTTATCGTGCGATTTGTTTTGCATGTTTTGATTTATCTGATTTGCTGGATATTTGATTACCCGATAACTCGATTGCAGCGGCATTTAGCAGTTGTCGAACCGCTTTTCCCCCACTTTCTCTATCCCCTAGTGGGTGCTTCCATTCTCCGTTCCCGATTTAAAATCGTATTGCGAGTCCTGAAGTCTGTTTCCTTATCACCCTCTTTTCGAGAGTCATTTAAGTTCTCGGCGGTGACCCGCAGTATCGTAAACCCGGCTTGACTCATTGATGCATTGATGATGCATTTAAATTCCCAATTCTCCTTCCACTAATTTTTCCGATTGCAAGTGGAAGAGCGATGGAGAAAATCACCATGAAATCTGTTCTTAAACGGGCCATTTGAATTTTCCGGCACCTGAAAGACAAACAAATGTAAGACTGAGCCTCTAAGGAGATAAGAAAAAAGGTTGATGGATTGTTTAATTGATTAACTAAAGTCTGCGTGGTGATTGATTGCAGAGTTAATCTAAACAATGGGTCCTATTCATGGGGCGTGTTAAAGAGGGCGGATCAAGAATAAGATAACCGATAGCTGGAAAAGTAAATAAAAAACGACAGTGTACGCACGGATTAAACTTAATTTGTATATCGGCAGCAATAAAATGAAAATGAGCTGAGTTAGCGGAATCACAGCTCGGTCATTTTATCGTCAGAAAAATAAAACTGAAATGCAAAACAAGACAAGTAAAAACGTTTAACTTGAGTTTAAGGTCTGAAAAATACCTAGTAAAGGTTGACAGAGGCAAATTTATTAAATTTAAATATTTGGTTTTCCCCGATTTGGAAACTTTTTATCAATTGACCAATACGGGAAAAATTAATATTAAAATTTAAAATATATATTTGTATTCTATAATTTCAAAGGAGTTCTGTGAGATTTATTTTCAGCATTTAATTATTTAGTTTAGTTAGCGATCGCCAACTTTATATGCCCCAAGTTTTCACCAAGTACCGGGTATAATTAAAATAATGAAATTGCAAGAAATATAAGTAAATTCAGAAAAAAACTTAGCAATAAAACGTGCGAAGTTATAAAAACAATGGAAAGCAAACGGTCAGAGAGAACGAGCAAAAAAGAGCGAGGGAGAATGCTCCAGATAATGCAGAGCTCGGTTCTACAGAGGTCTGTTCTGGGGGCTATGTTCCGATTCTTTGTTGCGGTCAGTCGGAAAATCGAAGGCGGCGCGTCGCGACTTCAAATCGAACACCAAAACGAAACGCTTTTTAGCAGCGAACGAATTTTTAATTATTATGATAATAGGGGAAATCTTACTATAAATATATTTAAGTGATAAGTGGATATATCGAAATAAATTAATAAAAAACCTAGAAATGTTTGAAACTAAACTGAAAGCCAAATTGATAAGAGTGTGCACAATCCACAATTATTATGTGCACAAGTAAAATTATTAATCAATAAAGCTATAAGTAATAGCATCAATTAAAATAATAATATGCTGTGGAGTCCAAGCACAAAGAAATAACAGCTAAATAGTACAACAATTACAAGAGTTTGGTAAATAACTGAACAAGAAATTTTACTTTAAATAATAATAAATAAATATTAAGTATTGAACCAATCTTAACATAAATAAAAACTTTTATAGTAATAAAAAAGTAAATTAATCAATTAAACTACATTTTAACTAATGTAAGTATGATATATCAGAAAAGTAATTATAAATATCTCAACTTTAAATCATTTTCAGCCTAGAAAATGACTTCCTATAGGACTTTGGTAGATCATGGCCACCCGATCATTGTGGGTGGCAGTGAAATATCGCTGGCCTCTACGTCGGCCACTAGTTCTCCCAAGGCCCTTCACCGGATGATCAAGTACTGGCGCAATAGCTCCGGAAAAATTCCGGGTCTCCGAAAGAGCGAGAGTTTTGCCGAGTATCGTCGCCACTCTTCAAACTCGGCCGCAGTTCCGGGCGGATCTGGGGGCAGATCTAGCACTTCGAGTGCCAGGCAATTGCAATATCAGCGACTGGAGATGGAAAGCTGCGAAAATATAGATCTGCTGATAGAACCACTAAGGTAGGTGGACTACAAAATAATTGCAATTTGTTGGGTTGGTCTGTGAAGACTTAAGGAACGCGAATTTATGAAGTAGTAAAAGAAACTTAGAGACAATGTTTTAAGTTGTTAAACTATATTTTTAGTAAAACAATTTAAATTCAAAAATCATTATGGCAGGTTAGGTTAAAATTGAAATAATTATTTTACTAGCTATTAAAGATATGGAGATCTGAATGGGTTAATTAATGAAATATGTAAACTTTTAGATAGCTTAAAAAATACCTATTTCAATTTTGCGCTTCAGTGAAACAATATTATATTTAACAGGATATTAGTTATTTTATCTTTCTGGCATTTTTTAAAACTATTGACTGCAAATCTTTTCCAAACCTCTTAAGATTCAACAAACAATTGAATTTGGATGCATGCCCCACCACATTAAGATTTCTTAATTATGCAAATATATGCACATTTCCAACCTGTTTACACAGAAAACTACCAAAAAAGTGGCACCCATTGTTCAGCGGTGTTCGTTTGATGTGTAACCCCAAAAATGTGGGGCATGCAACAGTTGGCTATCTGTTTTCTGGTTTTCGAAACGCCCCTCGCAGCTGCGGTTTATCTTGTGGTTATCAGCTGTTCGCTATCAGCCGCCAACGACAACAACCATAAGCATGTGGATGATAATGAGCAGCGAACAAGTGCAACACGCCGCCGCAAAAGCCGACGTCCTTTTGTGGATTGTGGATGCAATTTTTGGGCGAACCGCATGTGAGAGTGTGGGACGGAGAGAGATTGCTTATGTTGGAGCCCTCTCTCGGCAAGTGCCGTCTCTTTCGCGTCGCTTCAGCAATTGGACTTCCAGTATCCACATTTGGTCCACAGCGCGTGGTAAAGCTTGGAACGTGTTGGGCACTAATAACTTCAGCAGTAAAAAAAATAAATAGTTTTGCATGATAAATCTGAAATTTTAGAACGATTACTTCTAAAACTCATTAGTTAAAACATATGCTTATAATTCTTTAGGATTAAAAATGGGATTATGGGTCGTTATGAGGTCAAGTTGTTACTCGAAATTTCTTTCAAATCTATTTTTATATAAAAAATAAGACAAAAAAAGGATTTAATAATATTGTATTTTTTTTAAATATTAGAATCGTCTATAAATTGGTATTAATTATCTTTATGCAATGACGACTTCAAAATATTTACTTTAACTTCACTTAACACTTTGATTAAAATACGCTTTTCATCGAGGGCAACAGTACGTATGAGTAATAATCTTTGAAGACAATTTTTTTAGAAATTGCTGAAATTTTCTGAAATTGTTCAAAATCAGAACTAGATTTTTCCAGTGTACAAAATAAACTGTTTATGTTTTCATTCCAATAACAAAGAGGGCGAAAGAGAGATTGTGGGAGCATAGCTGTTGAGACTCTCTCAGGCGGCCGAAAACCAAAAGCATATGGAATGCCGACTGTTTTTGACTCGTGCCTCTGTTTACTTGTGTATTTGTGGCCCACGCCGGTTATTCAGTTTGTTTTCGTTATCTCTCTGCGGTGGCAAATCTTTGCCTTCTGCATACTTTTGGGGTACACTGTGCAAATATTCAAAATGCAACTGCATAGCCGGCTCCTTTGAATCGCATTGTTTTCCAAATTGTTTACTTTGGCTAATGCGGGCTAGACCCCTCTCCCTCGCACCATCCTACTCCACCCACCACCCTTTAGCCATCTCTTTCTGTTTGCCTAAACTGCGCGCATTTGGAATGTAAATAAATGTAAATAAACAAGAATTTCGCCCCCATGAAGGCAACAAAAGCAATAAGCGCAGAACAACAACCAACTGCAGTCCACCCACTCTCCCTCTTTCTCTCTCTCGCTCTCTTTCACACACAAGTGCAAAGTGCAAGCACAGTTGAGGTCACAGTAATAGCAGATAATTTAAAATAAAAACAAATTTCATAACAATTGATATATAAACATTAATAATTATAAAATAAACATTATTTAAATTTTTTAAATAATGTTTTTAAGGCAACCTAAAAGAGTGTATATTGGGCATGCCAAATTTTATTTTAAGAATTAGGCGTTGCGAAATAGTTGTAAAGTTTTCATAAACATTACTTATACGACCCGTATAACAGATAAAATTTAGTTTATAAATTACAAATACACATATTTAACGGAAAAACAAATTTCGTTTCAAGTGTAAATGGGCACAAAACAAGTAATATCTAACAAAATATTTTTAAATAAAATAAAATTTTTTTTGCAAAGTTTAGTCACATTTTTAAAAAAGTGTTTAAGATGTACGCAAAATGTTATCGCCTCTAATAAGTAGTGTCATTTTTCCATAACCCAACTATTATTTTGGCCCCAATTGTAAGTAGCATGGCTCTTCCAATGAAAGAGAAAGAGAGGTTGCTGGAGAGCCGTTTTGTGGATCGCATTGCAAGTGGAACCTGAAATCTGAGCTTCGTGCGCAACGTGCGAGTGCCTCTGGTTCCTCTTTCGTTCGATTGGGGGGCTAAACCAGCAGCTTTTCTGCTTTTCGCCTCAGAGTCGTTTTGAAAACCGACTCGTGTGGGCGTGCGAGCCAGCGAGTGTCCGTCTGTGTGTGTGCGTGTGCGAGGACAACCAGGCGTGTGTGTGTGCGTTGTCGCGCGTCTGCGTCGGGAAATCCTGAAAACGGAAATCGGGACAGGAATCGTGATATATTTCGGGTTTCCGGTGCGGTACTGCTTCTTCTTCGGCTTCTTCATTAGCTAGTCAAAAAGAAACGGTAGAACGGCGAGCAGTTGCCAATTGGCAGCAACAGTTGAAAGAAGAGCAGCCCGGAAAAAGAAAATCAAAATCAAAACAAATAAAGCAAGAAGTTTGGCGAAAAAGCAAACAATAATAAAGCTACAAATTCGTTGAACGAATTTTCGAATATGTGAAAGTGTTGAGGTAATAATTTTGAAAAAATATTGAAATTTGTAATACAAATAAAAAAAAACATAGAAAACAGGGAAAATAATATTTCAATAATACCAATTCTTGAAATAATTAAGAATCTTTAACAAAGCTCAAAAAACGGTACTTAATTAATTATTTTGTGATTATTAATAAAAAAGAAATTTCTCTAATTTCTAAAGAAAACGAAAACAATTAAACAATAAACAACAAAGTGTGTGGTCGAATTGTAACAAATTGAAATCGCATTTGGAGGCTTATCAAAAAAATTAGAAACGAAAGTGGCAAAGGTGTCAAATAGGCAAGAAAAAAAAGAAAACAAATTAGGCTGCCAAAAAAAAGCGGCTGCATAAATACCCGCACGTACTTAAAAGTGAAATTTTTAAACAAAAATCGTTGACTGAAATCGAAATTTAACGAGCAAAGAATCCAAAAAGAGTAGCGAAGAAAGTGTTGAAAATAAGTGAAATTGTGTGTGTAATATTTTGTGCAATTCAATTACGAAAATGCCATTTAATAGCAAGTGCAAAAAATGACGGAATATCATAATCACCGCAGACAAATGTCAAAGCTCTGAAAAGAAACAACAAATGAGAAATATTTATAAAAAGAAATAACCACAAAAAGTTCCGTTTTTGTGTCTTTTCTCTCTGTCTTTCTTCATCTCGTTTTTGCCGGTTCCCGAGTGTTTTTTTGTGTTTTTGGAGTTCGATTAAAATGCGTCACGCATGATTATTACGTGTGTTTTTGGTTTTTTATAACCATTTTATCTTCCTGCGATCGGTTTAAATGTTTATTTCTTTTTATTTTTTTGTGATTTATGTGCAAGTTGTGTGAGGTGATTGAAGTTATAAAGTTGCCTCAAAAAGTGGAAATGAATTTGTTTTCAATTTGGAATTTTTATTAGGGGGTGAAAATACCTGACGATCATGAACTCCAACAGGTTTTTTGTAAATGTGTCAAAAACAATTTGGTTTCATTTTTTCTGATCGGGAATTCGGATATAACTCATACAGTTCAAAAACACTAAATTTAGGAATTTCTTATTCCCAATGACTTGCACTTGCATTGCAAATTTGCATTTATCTTAAATGGAACTTTGTGCTTAATAATATGAAAAAAAAATTCGAAAGACTTATTCAAAGTTTTTTATTTTCAAATGTCAAATTTTTGATGTGATACGAAAGTGGAATTTTTGATACATTTTTAACCATTCTCTGATTCATCTGCTTCGGGAAAACCGCTTACTTCTCATTGCATTTTTCTCGTTTCCGACTTGCAAAAATGCAAATTAAAATTCACGCATTTTTTCCACCTTTTTTTTCGCCTTGTTCGTTTGTCCCGTTAAATGATGTTGCATCTTCTTCTTCTTCTACTGCTCCTCCCATTTTTTGCTACTGCCTGTTATCAAGCTGGTTGTTGTTGCTTTGTTGTTAATATGCATTGCCAATGGCAAAAAAAGGTAAAAAAAATATGGTAAATTTGCAGAGCACGTGAATTTCTTTTTGGCTTTTGAAACGGGTTTGGCCTGAAATGATTTCAGTTTGTTGTTGCCGTGTTTTCTGCTGTTGACTTTTCATTTTCGTTAAATTTTTTCTCGATTTTTGTCTCGCTGCAACTGGCAAAAATATTTATTGGCATGTGTGTGCGAGTTTTGCGACTGCTGTTTTGGTTGTTTTGCTGTTTTCACTGCTTTGCCAGCTGCAGTTTTCTGGAATTTCTGTTGCTCTTTCGAGAAATCGGGGTAATACGAGATGTTTGAGTGGCTGTGTCATAAAAATCATATTTATGGTGGCCGGACTTGGGAATAGTTCAGTTTTTCATTAAAAAATGTATCTCTAAAGTCGAGATAAATGTAATAAGGGTACTTTATATATCCTGTTCATTAAAAAGCTTTTAAACAAGTCAATACAATTGGAAATAAATCATGTACAATGCCCTAACTCACAAATAAAAAGAACATAAATGATTTTATTTAATGCCTATTTATTAAATTCAAATATATTTCAAGAATAAAAAAGATATAAAAAATATTTTATCCATTTAGATGGAATATTTACAAAATCTTTATAATTAGACTTACATAACTATTTTTTATTAGTAATTTATGATATAAAAAGAAAATTATTTAAAAAAAATTTGACAATTTTAAGAGCATCCCTGTTTTAGTAGGGTTAGTGGTTGGTCCTCCACTTTATCTCCCGCTTTTGGCAATCTGCTCCCATTCCGTGTTCACCTGAATACCCCTGCTCTTTTTTCCTTTGTTTGCTTTTGCCTGTTGCATTTTTGGGGCTCCGACTTTTGTTGCATTTTGTTCCGAGGGCGAAAAAGGTAAGCGACAGCTCATCAAATATTCATGCCGTTCGTGAAGAGATTGAAGAGATTCTCCCTGCCCGAATCGGATGTTTGCCTTTTGACAGATATCGTTTTTTTTATTTTTGGTGGGGAGGGGGAGTCCATAGAAGTGCTGCCCCATTGAATTTCTTTGGGATGCAAAGTAAACCTCAGCGATGCGGAATGTAAATGAACTCAAGAAGCAAATTGGCCTTGTCTCTCGGTGTGAAAATACGGACAATAACAGAAAGCTGAGAAAAAAACAATCCCAAGAAAACAGCTGCTTTTTGGCCACATCTCTTGCTATCTGCTTCGGATTCTCCTCCTCCGCATCTCAGATTCTCCGCCTGTCCATTCATCGTTCTGCGTCTGTCTGGCCCATCAATTGTCTTGTCATCCCTCTCACTTTTCGCCGCCCCTCTCTTTCTCGCAGTCACTCGAGAGTTCAAGTTGAAGAGCACCCAGCACAAAAGCTTGGCTCAGAAAGAGAAGGCAAGAGGGGTTAAGAAAGTGAGAGGGCTAAGCCTCGCCGTGTCATTCGCCTGCATTGATTTTGGATTTTGGATTCTCCCTTCATGACCAGTACTCGGCTAAAGCAAGGATATGATGGGATTTTGCTAGTTCAGTTTCCTTATGTATTTAGCGTCCTTAAGAAAAGTTAATATGTAATTAAAGTGGATTATTTTCGATTCTATAAAGTTTTTTGGATCCCAATTAATATTTTTGAATATTTCTCTTCTAATAATTATTATCGTTTATTAATATATACAATGTACATTGTTCATGTTCCCCAACTTAAATCAACAACAGTTTAAAAAATCCCAATAAATTATGAATTTAATGCGGATTTGTTCAAATTGAACACAAAAACTATTGAATAAATATTTTTTTAATATTTCATTTGATTCCTTGTATATATTAAAGATAACTAACCTATCCATTTAAACCGAAAAGGACAAAAATGGAGAGAAAGGAATACTGCTGGGTACCATAAAGTCTACATTTATTGTAGTCTATTTAGCCTTTGTAGGCTGCTGCAAAATTTACCGTTTCGCCAATGCGTTTTCTGTTTGTCCCTTGCTTATCTCCGCATTCGCAGATCCCCCAATCCTCTATGCCCCTCCCCTTGCAACACTTTTTTTGTTGGTGGAAAAACACACGCGAATTTAATTTATGGGGCGTGTGCCGCCGCTTCTCCCATGACATGGCCCAGTGCCAAATGGCTGGTATCCGAATTGGAAATGGAAAACACAGGCGGTCGACGGGGAGTGTCTGCTTCTATGTTTAGTGCGAACTTTAATTGCCTTTGCCTCGATTTTTCTATATTTTTCCTCCTTTGTTTACGACCTGTTCGCACCTGTGCCAAAAATAACAAAATATCCAGTTTAATGACCGAGTTCCTGGGGAATATATGATGAAACTAATAATTCTTTAATAATTTTTTTTTAAAAGAAATATTACAGGCGAAGGTCGACTTTGAAGTTTTCTTGTTTACTGGGAGTCAAGGATTAAAGGGGTGGTAAATCAAAACTTTATGGCAGCAAGGTGTTTCGAAGGTCTTTTTTTTTGGCTGGGAAAATATTCTAAAAATATCGTTACAGTAACAAGATTTGAATTTGGGTGAAGGTCAAAGGTAACGAAATTTAAAAGTTTCTTAGTTATAATTACGTTTAAACTTTAAAGAAAATAAAATCGTTGAAAGTGGATGTAATTTATCTGGGCTTAAACTTTAAAGTGATATTGTTAACAAGAACTCTATCAGTTTTTATTCAATCGACTTTAAAGTAAGTTCTTAAAATATAAAAAAGTATTAAAGCTCTACACTATGCTGAATTCACGAGTAGGAAAAGTTATCTTGTAATTTCTCTTCTAATCTCCCTTATTGACCAAATTTGAGCCATGTGTAAGAGCTGTCCCTTTAAATAGTTTTATTATCTCCAACTACTAAGCAGCTACATCAATTTCCTATTAGACTTCACTTACAAACAAAAATATCTCTACCATTTTCCGTGTTCAACTAAAAGTAACTCCCCCAAAGAACGGGGAAAGGCCATTTTGTGGGAGTAGTCAAGGTTGCGTCGCCCATCCAAAAAGCTGATTATTCAGCCAAATTGGCAGCCGATAAGATAAGATACCTATACCTATAGCACACAACCGACACATACCGATACTAAACCAGAAACGAAAACAGAAAAGAAGTCACAATCAACTAGAATTCCTCTCACACAAATTGTTGCCCCACAAAAAAAATTAAAACAGAGCAACTTGGGCTGCCAACAGCTGTTGATGTTTGTTAGCCAAGCTACGGGAAAAAAATAACACAGAACCCAATATGAAACCAAGCCGGAGACGAGATGAAAAATTTGTTTACAGAATTTGTCAAGGCATAAATATTTGAACACGTGTAACGGCGTAACAAGCAACAAATTCTTGAGTCCCCAATTCTCCCATTAAACAGGAAAATAGGGAAATGTACACACGGAAGGAGACCCAACTTTGAACTTGCCAAAATGGTTGAGTGTGGGAAATGGGTGGAGCCCCGGATGTTGTCAGAGTGTTTCCAGCGGCTTGCATATTTTCCAAAATTTTCCCCTTAGCATATCATATATTTGAAGATTGATAAGAACACCCACCCGCCCATTTTCGATAAGAAAATAACAATATTCTACTTGGTGACTCAATAGATTGTTTGCTTTAGTGGCCCGCAGCTAAAATATTGTGTTTATGACGTATCGACGCCAAGTCGCGGCCATAAAGTACTAACTGAAATTTGATTGCGAAACGTTGACGCAATTATTTGGAAGGGGAGTTGGGTAAAATATAAAAAAAGGGGTTAGCGAATGTTTGAGTATGTCGAGCACTTGACACACTTATCATTGACTAATTGCTGTGCGATAAAGTGATAATAAGAGCAAAAGGAAAGTAAGAAAGTGAAGAACTTGAAAGTGAAAAGCAGTTAAGACAATACTTCCTGCAAACATGTGACTCAAGGAAATAAAGAATTTATGCCGAATAAATTGATGAATTTTAGGCAATGCCAATGGAATGAAAATATAAGAACAACTGTATTTATAGAATTCAATTGTGCGAAACTTTTCCAAAAGACTTCTCATCAAAAGGACCTATTCAGCCACATATCATCTTCAAAGTATCTGCATAAACAACTCACCCTCTGACATTCCAAACTTCTGGCTTCATTAACCCAATCAAAATAACAGCGAGAAAAACAAAAATAAAATTGAGAAGAAATCCGCACAATTTCATTTGCAACTCGGATCACAACACATCAATAAAAATGCCAAATTGAATGAGCAACAATAAAAAAATTATCATTGTTCGGTTGACACACTTGCCTTCTATTTCTTCGCATTCTCTCTATTCATCCTATATTTTCTCATACGATAAAGGCCACCCACTGGGTGGTTTTGAGAGACTGGAATCAACTATTAGCCCAGCAGCCCACACGATTCCCCATTTTTTTCCCCTCCAATCTCCGATTCTGTTGACATTAATTTGTCCACAGCCAACAACCGCAACAACAAATGAATAAATATAAAATTTTTATAGATTTTTCTCTCTTTTTTTTGCATGACACCATAAAAGGTGGTCGTCGTCGACTTGGGGGCGGTTGCTGAGCCTGATTTAAATAAATTATTCTATATGCGATTTTTATAATGCAGCCGCCAGTAACCCGAAGAATTATTTTGCACTCGCGCTCACAAATTGTTTTCTACGCCGCGTAATTCAATTTCATTTTGGTTTGAGTATATTATGATATTTTTTTTATCATTCTCACCTGAGTGCCTGTTGCTATTTTTTTGCGGAAATGACGAATTTGCAACAACGGAAGTTGCGTGTTGAGGCTGAAAGAGATGGCCGCATAAATTTTGATTGCTCTTAATGCGATTCGAGCCGAAACGAATTATATATTTTATTTTACATTGGGTAATTGCATTACAGAGCGAGCCTGGTATCTCAATCTGGGCAAGTGATTTGCCAAATGTTGTTGAGAAGATTTAGAGATTTGCCAATTTAGGTCAACGGCATTGAAGGCGCATTAGGGCTGAAGTGAAGTAATCATATCAGTTGGATAATGTTTGTCGGATTTTGCTCGACAGCGTGCACGATAAATCCAATTAATTAATGGTCCCAACGATTTAGGCATATACACAAGCAATTAAACATTCCTTTGAGGATTTTAAAGCAGAATTTAACCGAAAATGGGGCTGTAGGTAAGAGGTTGTGAAATTGGATTGTCGAAATGCTAATTGGGGTTTATTGGGAGACAAATTAAGCTGTTTAAATAACTTTAAGTGGTTTTAAAACTATGAATTGTAATGATATGCTTGTAGATAATTTATTTTAGTGATTCCTTTCAATTGCAATTAGTGTTCTATTTTATATACAATTTATATGAAATAATTTTTCTTAGATTCTAATTGGTTTTTCTGTTGGTTTTTCTGAAGATTCCCCATCCTTTATGCAATTTCCTCTGACAGCTAACCAACCCATTTTAAGCCCAAACTGTAAGTGGCTTAAAGCAAGTACAGCTCATCTCCTCTTGGCCGTAACAGGCTCACTTTTCCTCAAATTCCAGCTCGTCTACCTTTGACTAACCCTCTTATCACCACCCCCAACCCCAAAATCTTCCATAATACCATTCGCAGCTCTCGTTATGTACGCACATTACCACTTAAGCGAGGTGCTTGGCCTTGGGAGGGAAAACCGGGAATCGGAGGACTAACTCCATGGGCTTTTGACGGCCAGATGCCTTCAGTCAATGCCGTAAATCATAAATCATCTCTCCCTTCTTCTGTGGGGGCGGCACTTGGACACGTGCGCCAGTACATTACCTTTTGGGTGGTTTTTCCGACCCACCCTACCACCCCTCTAGGTAATTTCTACATTTTCCTTCTCGCATTTTAGACCTAAGCCAATTGTCAGTGGGGCAGGTTCAAGAAAAAGTTTTCCTTTGCCGCTTTATGAGGGTTTATTGAAGGTTCTCAAAGGCGGGGGATGTGGGGCTTAAGTGACTGCCCTGGCAAGTGGTTTTGCCCCGGGGTTTTCGCCCCACGCGGAAAACATATGCGGGTTGTTTGCTGTCTCCTCTCTGTTTTGCACGCATTTTCACGCGCTTTTCCTCGCTCCGCTGGGCAGACTTTTCAGCTCCGGCATTACTTTTTAATACACTCAAGACCCCCGCCCAGAATCTCCATTTATTTGCCTTTGAGTGATTTTCTTTGTTTTTCGAAGACAAGACTTATTTCTACCGAGTTTTACGACCATAAAGTCGGGCAGCATAAACTTATTAAATTTCCATTCTTTTATTGCTGGCCACATAAAATTCGGTTTCACAACGGTTGTAAAACAAGCGTATGGAAAATGCGGTTCAAGTGACCACAACCTGAAATTTAATTAATAATCGGGAACAGATAAAAACGGAGTGAAAGAAAGAGAGAAAAACACATGCTGAAAAGTGTAGGGCCATAAATTTAAACCCTCCTTAAATTTTCCTTCTGTGCAGCAGCAAAATGGAAAGAGTGAAGTGAACCCATGTGAAAAACTAAAAGCATTAAAAAAGGGAAAACCAAAACGAAACAAAACAAACACAAAACCAAAAATACTTCAAAACCAAAAATACGAAACCAAAATCAAAACAACGTCAGTCAATCAAATCCATCAATCATGCTGAAGATACACATGCTGGAGCAGGTCGTCAACACGGAAAATGTCTGCGAGAATGCCCAGGAGCTATCACCAAAGCGCAAATTGCCGGGCCAGGGGCCAGTGGGTGGCGGGGGCAGCTCCTCCTCCAACGGGGGCACGCCCACCGTCTCGGCGACCTCGTCGCCCCACCACCAGCCGACGCCCCCCCAGCGCCACATTCACACGAGCGGCGGCAAGAGCGTCAGCCAGGGATCATCTCCAGCTGGGTAGGTAAACAAATTAACGCCGGGGAGTTCTTGTAATTACTAACAAAAAAAGGAAAACTAGTCCCTAAAATATGTTTTTATTTAAAGAGAAGGCCAATTAGTTTAATAAATATCTGCACTTATAAATTCCCAAGATATAATGTAAGATCCCTGGCATAAGTCTACTAAAATTTCCATTTAATTTGAAATATTTAAATATTTTACTAGAATCTCATATATGTTAGATAAATATTTCTTGTGCACATGCCCATAAAATTTTATGGTACAATAATTAATGCACTATCTGACAATTTTTAATACATTTTCTGGTTTTTCAAATAATTGAAAAAAAAGGTATATTATTTTTGATATTTTTTTGGAAGACATCTCATTCTGAAATATAGCCAAATATTTGAAAGTTATAGAAAAAAGAGTGAAATATAAGATACAGTTTATTTAAAATGGGTAAAATATAGGTTACCTAAAAATGAATTCCAACAATTAAATTTCACAGTGCCTAGAAACTCATTAGTTTTAAACACTTCCTCTAACATTTTCTCAAATGAGCTTCTCCGTTTCCCGGTTTTGTTCGGCTAATTGAGGCTGCTGGATTAGACCCAGTATCTTTGTTGCTTTTATGCAATCTGTCGAATGATAGATGCGTTTTTGATGAGTCCTCCCTTTGGCTGCGCTGCCTTTCCCCCAAAGCGAGAGCACTCTCTTTTTTTATGCAATTTTCCTGTTGTCACATTCCTTTGGTCGCTGCGGTTGACTGACGTTGTCGTAATGGGTGCATCGTCCAGCGGTTTTCCAGTTTTCCCCTCTTATTGCCAACCTTTGTTGGCCAGTTAAAAAATTTCACCGCAAATTCTGTTATTTTCTTTGTGTTTGCCTTGATGAGTTGAGGGTTTTTGGGTTGAGGTGTGGCTAAATGGAAAATGGTTAATGCATTTGCGAGGCGTGAATTGGGTGGCAAATTGACTGAGAATTAATGTTACTGAAGATAAATTTGAGGGAAAATTATGTTTACTTTTTGTAAGAGCCATTTCAAAAATTTAAAAAGAAGTTTGTATTATATTTTTAAATATTTTTTTTACATCGCCTATATCTTAGTCAGTAGCTTAATTTATTATGCTGTGAAATAAATAGTCTTTTCGTGTTAATGTCATACTTAAATATTCCTCTTCAACTCTGATTGAAAGGCGACCGTTTTAAACTGACAAGTTCATTATCAGTATCACAAGACACTTTGCTTCTTATCTGAAACTTAACATTTCAATGGCATTATTTTTTTTTTCATCAGAACCGCATTTCAGCTCGCTAAGTTTGAACAAATAATAGCTGTTTGAGAGCTTTGATTGACAATATGCCATTGAAATAATTGAAAACTTTGTTGTGCAAGTTCTGGTTCTACCACTTTCTATCTTCCACTCATTTTTTATTTCTTTCTATTTTTTCCACAAGTTTGTCACCCACTGCACTTCATTTCACGCTATCAATGCAGTTGTGCTTATTTTTCCTCCAGCTCCATTGTTGGTCAGCGCTGCCACGAGGTATTCAGCTCAGATATTACCCAGTTTTCCCCTTTTTCCCTCTTCCTTTATCTGAAATTTTCTTGGCCATTCCTTTGTGGCTTGTTATTTTCGCATTAGAGTCTGGTAATTGATACCTTGCGGATGGTTATGGCTTTGCGGCTGTGAGAGCGACACATCAAGGCTACGGGGAGGCGTTTTATGTTATGGGGAAAATCTTGGCAAACAATGGACTTGAGGTCTCTTGTCCAGGGGGCGTGGCCGTGGGCACAGTTTTGTTAATAATTATTATCCACAAGCTGCATTGTCACATTGTCGGTGAATGGAGTGAAAGATGACAAAAAAAATCTGAAAACCGAAACAATTTTCATTTTCATTTTTCTTGTCTCCTGAACTTGACAATCAAAAGGGGATTTTCATTTCTTTTGTTTTCCGCTCCCTCCGCCCACGCAAGACAATTTTCTTTCCATGCTCCTCTTTTTGCTTTGGGATTTTCTCTGTTAAAAACATAATATTCAAAACATAAACACTTCCGTTGGCGCCCTTCATTACCCCAACAATCCTTCTTGTTTTTCCCCTTCGGCGGACTTAACTTTTTGTTTAATACAGAGAAGAAAAACAGAAAGAAATACAAAACAAAATATTTATAATATTTTGTTCATTTCATAAATGTTAAAATATTTTATAAAAATATAAAAAAAAATATTATACTAATACTAAGAAAAGTAAATTAGATTAAATAGTCTCATTTTAAAATAACATTTTACCAGTTAGACAATTTTAATGAAAGTTTTGTGTGCAGTGCCTTTGACTTTTGGCTATTTTTGACTTAATTACTTGGGGGCTTATGGGCTTGCCATGGTCTCTTCGTTGTCCCTTGCTGCATTATTTATGCCCAACATTAGTCGGTATTTTTCGTAACCCCCTTCCCCTTTGGCTCTTCGACAATTTTTGATTTATCTCGGAGTTGTCTGAGACTCGTGTCTTCTGCCGCTGCTCCCATTATGCCACCATTTCCATTTCCATCCTCATCTGCAACTTCGTGTTCATCTTCATTTCGTTGGGGAGCTACAGCTAGTTGACCCCGAAACGCTTATTCTTCTGCCTCCGAAAAGGGGGCCAACGCAGTTAGCCCAGTTAAAAATCAACTTGGCCGCCTGTCTGTCAGTCAAATGCGAGGCCAAATTGGAGTTCTGTTTCGGGTTCTATTCCATTCGGTTTGAGTTTCGGGTTCTCTTCTCCCATTTGAAAAGGCATTTTCAGGCTAATTTATATGCAAAGATTGCGCCAAATAACTGAACAAAAGCAACAAACACAACAACAACAATTATGTGGCCAGCTGACCAGGCCAAACCATTTATCACTTTCCAATTTTTTCAACATTTATTCGGTTTTATATTTCTGTGGGTATTTTTTTTGTCTTGTCTTCGTTTGTGTTGTTTGTCTTTAATTTGGAAAGATAATTTGGCATGTCAGCAGCTTTAATATCGTAGCACGAGATGTTATCTGTCTCTGTCTGGCTTTATCGCCCAGTGTTTTGGATACTTTTGTGGGTGGTTTTTGGCCACGGAAGTTCAATACAGTGAGGTCGAAGAATATGGACTGGGCGAGCTTTGGCTTTAAAGGTTTAAAGTTAGCTGTTCTGTAAGGAACTTAAATTTACTAATAATAACTGTCTTTTATAAGAAAGTAAAGAAAATAAGGTCATCGAATTAAAGGACTTGCAGTGAAATCCATCACTATAAGACACCGATGAGCTGCAGAAAAAAGGACAGCAACCGGAAAGGACTTGCACGTGACTTTTTCCCGACTTTACTTTACTTCACTTAAGGCCTACCCCGATTTTACTTCGGACTCGCAACTTCGTTATGCCAGAACACGAGGCCTCTGCCACATACGTGATTTTCACCCAAAAGCGGACCATTGACTGAGTAAAAAAATGGGCAAGTACTCTGAATCTTGATAAAGAAGCTAAGAGCTGAGCCCAAAAGACCCCTGAGGAAACATCTAACGGAAAAAAAGAAACTTGTCATTGGGCCAAGTGGCATTCGGCAATGCCAAGTTCACGATTGCCGATTCAATTGCGATTCCGCACCATTTCAGTTACGAACTTCGAACAGGAAACTAGTTTCGGTCGGCAGAGATCAATTGAAGCTTTGGATTGTTCGGGCCCATAATCGCTCTAAATTTTTTAATTTATTACCACGCTCTGACAGCTGACACATGAGTGGGAGGAGAGTTCAAAAGATGCTGACAACAATTAAATTAATGTCAAGGCAGCGAACGCCCCAAGGAAAATCAATAAAAAAAGAAACAGGAATGAGGCGAAAAGAAAGAGCAACCTGAGGGAGAAATGCACAGGGAAAAATATTTAAAAAGTCTTTTACAAAGCCATCAAGTATCCGATATTATAAATTATGTAAATCCTAAAATATCACTACATGAGCCTTATATTGTTGATATTTACCTGATACTTTATCGATGCATTGGGAGTTCCTGCATTTTTTTGAGTGCAAGAAAATGAAACTGGGACCGAAGCATAGGCCTCTGGTGATTTTCCATGCCAGTGAACCTGGCTGACTGACTTCGTCTGGGTGTTTGCTTTGATGCCTCGACTAATTGGGCAAAACTTCTGGGCAACGTTCCATTTCGGTTCTGCCTAAAAAGGTGAGATGTGTGCCCCTCTTTCGCACCCACTAGCCCCATCTCTCTCCCTTTTGGCACTTTGACGCTAATTTATGCCCACAAACCCTAGACAAACTGATGTAACTTTTGTTTTCTATTTACCATTTTTGCTCTCATACAAAAGTCACCTTTGTTTGTTATGCAAAAAGAAAAGAGTACATAAAATCAAACAGAAATCGCTTCTGTCTTTGTCTGAAACTGTCTTACTTATGACTTATGCATGAGGTTTTTATGGTTAAGTTCGCTGGGTTTGTGAAACAGACTCTACACACTGTAGCCGAATATTTATCTAAGCATCTGTGCCATTTAGCTACCGTGAAACATCATTTCGGGAAATTATCCAAATGGAAAATAGGCTGCTAAGTGCTGAATATGAATAGGGATCTGGTTTAACCATGAATAACTTATACATATAGTTCTGAAGAGGAATGTCTGATACAGAGGTGCCTAGTATTAATGGAAAACATGGCATTAATATTTTATTGGGAGCTTATCAATATTATAACTTAAAATATAGATGTTAATTCTTTCGACATTAAAACATAATTAAACAATTTCCGCCTTTCTCTTCTATATGACATATTTGGGTCATTCATATACATAATAGATATCTCGTAAGAAATTCCTTTGGAATCTGGAAAATCTGCACTCAAATCCCATTTTAAACAAAAAAAATATTCATGGGCATTAAAAACGTAATCATGTGAATAAATCAAATGGTGTCTCGTAAAAGAGCAATCATAAAAAATGTGTGAGAAATCACCCGAATCTGCTGCTCATCCAATTTCTCCTAATGAAGTGAAA